TTTTTTTTTTTTTTAAAGAACTAGAAGGAAGTGACTGCAAATGAGCAGAAGGATCTTTTAGGGGGTGGAGATGCTCTGAAATTAGATTGTGGTGATGATTGCACAACTCCGTAAATGTTCTTTTTGTTGTTGTTTCTTTCTCTCTTTTTTTTTTTTTTAACAGAGACTAGGTCTCGCTATGTTGCCTGGGCTAAGCTCAAACAATCCTTTCCCCTGAGCCTCCCAAAGTGCTGGGATTATAGGCGTGAGCCACCACCCCCAGCCCACAGCTCTGTAAATTTTCTAAAAATCATCATAAAATTGTACACTGAAAAAGAGTGAGTATTGGCATGTAAATTCTACTTTGATGATGCTGTTAAAAAATAAAATTAAATTCAAGATATTTAGAAGAACAAAAAGCTCCAGTAGCTTCTAGTCCCAGCTAAGACAGAGTAAGTGGAGTGCACTCTATGTCTGTCACCAAGCACAGCTAAGACACCACACGGAATAAAACAATAGCAGACAGACTGTGGAGAGAAATCAAAATGTGAGGGCGGACTGACAGCGTGGTCGTGATCAGTGTCCTGCCTCTTGCCCTTCCCTGTCTCCTGGCTTTGATGTGCAGCAGTCTGAACCTCAAAGTAGCACAGTGAGTACGGCCAAGAGAAACCCTCCTTTCTGGTCAGTGGTCTGGAAAGGGGTTGCCCCAGAGGATGAAGAGAGTTGGGGGAGATGTGCTGTTTTCCTTCTCCTGCTCTTGTCCCAGAAGCAAACCCCTGTCCTGAAACTGCACTCCCAAAGTGGCGATGGCAGCAGCCACAGCAGCAGGAGCAACCGCAGGAGCCAGCAGGAAGCATATGACAGTGTCCAGAGGAAGCATGTGACATGCCTGGAGGCGAGGACCAGGAAAGGGGGCTCCTGGAAAGCCACAGAGTATGAGAAACCAATAAGGAGGGGCTCAAGAGAGGCATCCCATAAAGCTGTGTACAAAGTTCCAGACTCAGCCCTGAACCAAACCTGTGTGGAAATGACCCCAAAGAGCAAGTCGAAGGCTTTGAGAATTGAACCATGGGGTAGATCACTGACTGCCAAGGTCGCAGACTGGCCTCAGGGATGCGAGTGTGAGCCAGATGCAAATATGACACACAGACTTTGAAAACTGAACTCATGGCTCATGTCTGTAACTCGACACTTTGGGAGGCTGAGGTGGGCAGATTGCTTGAGCTCAGGAGTTCAAGACCAGCCTGGAAAACATGGCAAAATCCCGTCTCTACAAAAAATACAAAAATTAGTCAGGTGTGGTGGTGCATGCCTGTGGTCCCAGCTACTCAGGAGGCTGATGTGGGAGGATAACTTGAGCCCAGGAGTTCAAGGGTATGGTGAGCCAAGATCACACCACTGCACTCCAACCTGGGTGACAGAGTAAGATCCTGTAAGAAAGAAAGAAAGAAAAGAAAGAAAGAAAGAGAGAAAGAGAGAAAGAGAGAGAGGAAGAGAGAAAGAGAGAGATAGAAGGAAGGAGGGAGGGAGGGAGGAAGGAAGGAACGAAGGAAGGAAGGAAGGAAGGAAGGAAGGAAGGAAGGAAGGAAGGAAGGAAAAATAAAAAAATAAAAACTGAACTCACATGGGAACCACAGCCCGCAAGAGGCAGGTCTGGACTTGTGGTCTAACTCTAACCAGACTGACTGCCAGCAAAACAAAAAGATCATTGCTGTCCAGAGGATTTTAGTAGAATCCAGAGTCTTATTAAATAATATTCAAAATGTCCATGATACAACCAAAAAGTACTCAAACAGCAACAAAGAAAACCTTGAGAACTTGTAAGAGAAAAGATAACTAACAGATGCCAACTCTGAGATAATTCCAATGCTGAAATGATCACACGGAGCATTTAAAACAGCTGTTATAAACATGTTCCATGAAGTAAAGGCAACAACTCTTGAAACAAATGCAAAGGTAAAAATGTTTAGTAAAACTATAGAAGCTACAAAAAATTAAAAATGATAAATACAGTAACAGAAATTAAACAAAAATTCAGTGAATGGGATGGGCTCAATAGGAGAACGGTGAAGACAGAGGAAAGGGTGAGTGAACTTGAAGACCAATAGAAATTATTCAATATACATGACAGAGAGGGAAAAAATAGACAAACAAACAAGAACAGTGCCTTAGAGACCTGTGGAATCATATCAGAAGGTGTAACATTTGTTCACTGGAGTCCCAGAAGAGGAAGAGTAAAAGATTGGCACAGAAAGAAGTATTCAAAGAAATAATGACTGAAAACTTCCCAAATTTGGTAAAAACATGAATTTACAGATTCAAGACGCTCAGTGAATTTCCAAAAGATAAACTCAAAATAAACCAAGCCTATATGCACCATGTTAAAACAGCTGAAAACCAAAAGTAAAACACCTGAAAAGTTTCAACAAAAAATGATATTCCATAGAGAGAAACACCCATTTGAACTGCACATTTCCCATCAGAAACCATGGTGGCCAGAAGACAATAGAACAACATTTTAAAGTGCTTAAGGACAAGAAATGCCCACCCATAATTCTATATCCAGTGAAAGTGTTCCTCACGAATTAAGGAAAAATAAAGACATTCTCAAACGAAGAGAAACGAAGAACATTAGACCCCAGCAAATGTGCTCTAAAAGGAATCTGAGGCAGAAGGGAAATAATACCAGAGGGCAACTTGGAAATTCAGAAATGAAGAAAGAGCAACAGAAATGGTAAATATCTGGGTAAATAGAACAGATTACTTTCCTCCTCTTGTATTCTTTAAAATATGTTGAGAACAAAAATTACATCGTTGGTGGAGTTTTCAATGTACATAAATGCAAAATATGTGACAGCTACAGCAGAAAGCAACGGCGGTTGGAATTTCTACAGTTGTGACGTTTCTCTACGTTTTACTTGGAGTGGTAAAATACTAATTTTATTATAAGTAGACAATGAAGTGTTTCATATGTCTATTGTAATTCCCAGAGCAATCGCTGAAGCCCTATATAAAAAGAGGCCGGTGGAGGGAGGCCGGGCGTGGTGGCTCATGCCTGTAATCCCAGCACTTTGGGAGGCCGAGGCGGGTGGATCATGAGGTCAGGAGTTCGAGACCATCCTGGCTAACACAGTGAAACCCTGTCTCTACTAAAAATACAACAACAACAAAAAAAGTAAAAATTAATAAATAAGTACAAATAAATAAGTAAAAAAAATAAGTAAACATAAATAAGTAAAAATAAATAAGTAAAAAAAAAAAAGGTGCCAGTAGTCCCAGCTACTCCGAAGGCTGAGGCAGGAGAATGGCGTGAACCCGGGAGGCGGAGCTTGCAGTGAGCCGAGATGGCACCACTGCACCCCATCCTGGGCGACAGAGTGAGACTCCATCTCAAAATATAATAAATAAATAAATGAAAAGAGGCTGGTGGAGGGAGTGGAGGGGAGGGGTAGGGACTCTGGGGCTTCCCAGAGCCGTGACCTTGCTGTGGGAGGACCAGGCCTCCATTCTGGGGACTCAGTACTCCTCTCACTGTCACCCATCTGATGTGCCTATCGCACAAGGCTGGAAGTCAGAGGCCGTGCACGTTCTTCTTTGTGGAGACAAGGGAGTAATTGGTGTATTTACTGTAAAAATATCAGGTGTGGCTGCATGGAGTGAAAATCACAGGCTCCAAGGAGCCGGGAGGCCTGCTGCCCTGCCCTCTTGCTTTGATGAGGAAATGGCAACCGCAGAAGGAAGCGTAGCAGCACCGGCACTGGTGGGGCCACGCCGGGCTGCTTCCCAGGGCCCTGCCAGCTGAGCGGCTGCAGGAGAGGGTGGATGCTGATCCCAAGCTAGGAATGAGGAGTCCAGCCCTAAGGGCCGAGGGAGTCAGGTGGGTGAAACTAGCCACACGTCCGGGTACAACTGCTCAGGGTTTCTCATCTGCTCAACCACTGAACGAGGTTCTGAAGCCGGGTGTGAGCGAGCAGAACTGGAGCAGGATTCTGAGAACAATCTTTTCCCTCGAGTCAGCCCAGAAATTCCATTTGCAGTCGCTTTCACTTACATCTTCCAGAAAACCACCTGATGTCATCAGGGGTTGGTTGAGCCGTTCCCTGTGCTGGCCTGGCAGAGCTGCGTGCTCTGAGACTGCCAACCCTGCACTCCAGAACAGTCCATTGAGTTCAGGAGACAAGCACGTCAGCCATGACACAGGGTGGATGAGAGGGACCCCCAGTGTCCACGCGTGGAGGCAGCGGGGGCAGCCGGCAAGCACAGGCGGGGAAGGAGATTCAGAACCTGAGGGTTGCTCTCTTGCCCTCCCATCCTGGATGCTGGCCTGGGCCCCCAGCTTCCCTTCACCCAGCTTCCATCCCCATAACACGTAGCCCCAGAGCTTGGGAAGGAGGTCTCTCTGTGACAGGTGGGATTCTGGAAGTTTCCACGGAGGAGACTCCATAGGAGCAGGGTTTGAAGGTTAAGAAAGATGCTAAGGATGGAGAGGGCCAGTGGGCAGGGGGTGGTTCCAGGCTCACTTCACAGAGGTGCTAGGGGAGCTGCAGTATTTTGACAACACCGAGGAAAGAGAGTCAGGTCAGTGGAGTTCATAACTGAGATGATGAGAATGGGGTCTACACCAGCCGCGAAGACCCCTGGGGTCTGGCCCCAGCAGATGTCCAAGTGACAGAAAGCGCCTTCCTGCCTGGAGAGCACCCCCGTGAGGACCCTGGGCACCACTGGGCCGCAGCTGCTCCCTCCCAGTCACTCACCACACTTCTCTCTCCCGCCCACCCTCCAACCTGTCTGCAAATTCCCCTGCAACCCAACTCTGGTCTCCTCCCAACCCTGCCCCCACGTAGGCCTATTTTTTCTTTTTCACTTCTTCCCCCCAGTGACTTCCTTCTACAGTGTTGATTCAGCTCCCTTTGCAGGCGAGTGAGGCCCTTTGCAGGCGGGGGCCGGGGGCCGGGGGCGGGGGCGGGGAGAGGGCTGCAGGCAGTGCTGGCGGAGGGGAGGAGGTGACACACACTCCCTGGAGGCGAGTGGGGAGGGCATGGGGCAGGAAATGGAGTTGGGTGCCCCAGGTGGGGTGCTCCAACGAGCTCTTTCTCACGGGATCCTCCACAGATTCATACAAACAAGCTGACAACCAGGGCTGGTCTCAGGCCACCCGTCTGGGTTCATTGCAGAAATGGAGATCTGCCCTGGGCAGCCAGGTGAGTGTAGGAAGGAGGCAGGGGTGCGAGAAGCTGGGGGCAGCCTCCATCCCCCTGTGGCCTGGGTGGGCCTGTGCTCCCCCGATGCAGCTTCCCACGCTGGGAGCACAGTTCCTCCCTCCTCTGCCTTCCTCTGCGTGGGGTGGCTCCTCCTTGAGAGAGGGAGATGAGGATGTGGCATTCTTGCTTCCCTGACTCACCCAAAGGAAGATTTCACAGCCCCTGGCAAGGGCTGCCAGACAGGCTCACCTGTCATCCCCTGCCCAGGGACAGACTGACTGGTAGCCTTGGCTTGGGGGGGGCAGTTATGCTGGGGGGGGGAGTTATGCTGGGAAGGGTCTTCCAGGCCCCCTGGGTGTGGGAAGATGCTCATTGTTCAAAGGAGATGGAGCAAGGAAAACAGTTAAGCAATGATGGACTCCGGGGGAAAACCAGAGGAGAAGAAACTGTAATTCCAGTCCGTCCACATGGCCTAGCAGTGAACGACAGTTCCATGGTCAGAGCAAAAGCACCAAGCCGATTGAAAGCAGCTCGAATGCGGTGGGGCAATGGGAGGTAATGCCATCATCTACCAAAACAAGGTCTGCCACCTTCACAGACCACTAAACCTCATTCCTCCACCCACCTCCCCATCCCATGAAGGCTGGCTGACCAGAGAGCAGGGCTCCCGAGGGTCAGATTGGGTCAGATCGGGTGGGTGCCCTTTACCCTAACCAAGGCTTTGCCCCGGACTGGGGGGTCCACTTGCCCTCAAAGCATGCCACTCTTCTTTCTGATACTTGACATTTTTCCTTTCCTGTTCAATTCATGGTTTCCGCCCAAATGGAGCCACGAGAGGACGTCTTTGGGGATGTATCTCCTAGAAAAGTCTGGGCAGTCTTCATTACCCTGGATTCCTGTGACTTGGTTTCCATGGGGGCTTTCTAAGCTCAGGGACCCCAAGCCTCCATCAAATCTAATGACCCGCCCTGTCTCTGAACACATCTGTGTTGTTCCTGAGCCCCTTACCAACCCCCTCCGCAACCCCGCCCACACATTTCCCATTCTGAAGGGTCCAGCCCTTAGGCCAGCCCATGCGTTCCCTTCACCCCTGCTTTGTCCCTACCTGGTGGGGAGCTGTCCCTTCTGGGCCCTAGTGTGGCACTTCACACACGAATGTGTCCCGTGGGTGGTATCTGGGGCCTCCCCCTGCAGTGAGGGGGATGACCAATGCACAGAGCTCACTGGGCCTGGGTATGGGCTTGGGTGGCACAGAACACAGAGAAAGTGCTCCGTAAAGGTGAGCTGCAATGTCCCCGCTAGGGAGGAGGTGGGCAAGCTCTTCCCTGGGGGAGGAAGAGCTCTCAATCCAGAGGGATCTGACCAGAAAGGTTCACCCCCCTCCACCCAGGAAGCCCCCGCAGACAGTATGTGTTTTACGCTCCGCTGGCCAAATGGTCTCTGCCACGACTGCTCAGCTCTGCCATTGTGGCTGCAGAGTGGCCATAGACCTTCTGAAAGTGAATGAGTATGACTGTTTTCCAATAAAACTTCATTGACAAAATCAGGTGGAGGGCCAGCCTAAGGGCCCAAGTTTGTAGGTCTCTATTCTAGACCAGTGATTCTCTGGAGAGGAATGAGGCATGGGGAGTGGAGACAGTGTGTGGGAGAAGGGGTGGGACACAGGCACATGGGAATGGTGTGGACATGGAGGACAGTGGAGGCAGGGAAGAGCCAGAGAACCTAAACACTGATGCTGGACCCTGGGCGACCCTGGGTCTCCCCACAGCCTCCTCTCTTAGCCTCTCCCTCCAGTTTCAAAACGACTCCTCCTCTGAGGGGACTCAGGCTCCCCACCCGGCTCCCCAGTTCCCACCGGAAACCCCGAGTGGGTGTTCCAGCCTCTGCCCCACCAGGCCCCGCTGGAAGGCAGCACCGCCAGGCAGGGACCTTTCCTCCCTGCCCCTCCCTCCTCCAGTTCTGGGTCCTGGCCCAGAGACGACCTCTCAACCCAGAGGGACCTGACCAGAAAGGTCCGGCCCCTTCCACCGAGGAAGTCCCTGCGGGCTGGAGGGCAGCCCTCCCTCCTCCCCCCTCCCTCCCCTGTGAGTTTTTCTTTCTGATAGAAACAGCATCTATTCTTTCCACTGGGCCCCAGGGGCCGAGCTGGCCTCTCACACACAGAGGAGCTGGGCAGGCAGGTGGCCCGCATGGCTGGGCCCCACTGAGGTGGCCTCTCACACACAGAGGAGCTGGGCAGGCAGGTGGCCCGCATGGCTGGGCCCCACTGAGGTGGCCTCTCACACACAGAGGAGCTGGGCAGGCAGGTGGCCCGCATGGCTGGGCCCCACCGAGCTGGCCTCTCACACACAGAGGAGCTGGGCAGGCAAGTGGCCCGCATCGCTGGGCCCCAGAAAGCCTGGGGTGCAGCCCAAGGCACCTGCTAGGCAGGGGGCTGCACAGCCTCAGGTCAGTTCCTGAAAGGCACCTTTTTCCATTTGTAAATGGGGCGACAGGTCTGCCTCCCAGGGATGAGCAGACAAAGGGTTGGGACTGCAGAGCTTGGGTACATGGAGTGGCAGTAGGGACCGGGGCCCAGAGGTTGCTGAGTGAGGGAAGGCATACGGGCAGCGAGGCTGGTGAAAGTGGCAGGGGCAGAGGGCGGGGTATGGGAACATGCCCATCGAGGCTGGTGAATGTGGCACCACAGGGGTGGGGAGGGAGAACATGCCCATCGAGGCTGGTGAATGTGGCACCGCAGGGGCGGGGAGGGGGAACATGCCCAGCGAGGCTGGTGAATGTGGCACCGCAGGGGCGGGGTGGGCGGATGCAATGATGAGCATTTCCTCCCTGGGGCCAGCAGAGCAGGGGTGAGGCTGAGTGGGTCTATTACGCGGATTTGGGTGGGACCCCATGCAGTCACACGTGGGGGACGCAAGGCTGACAGCCTTGCCTGACCCTTTCACACTTTAGCCACAGCAATGCCAAGCCCAGAAAGGCTGCAAGTCCCCAGGGAGAACAGAGGCCCCCGGAAGGGGTGGCCGGCTGGGCTTCCCTGCAGTCCCCACAAGACAGGATCCAGGAGATTTTAACGTGTTAACTTGTTTTCTGACTTTGCCAAATTGCTTATGGTAGCCATGCATTAATTTTATAATCAGAAAAGCATGTTATTATAAATCAAGTTAAATGGCTCCAAAACAAAAGCACCCAGACCCCAGAAGCCTGCCTCTCTCTAGCCGGAGAGAGGGACGAAGTGTAAGGAAAAGGAACGGAAAGCTGAAAGGACCCCCGGGCTCTGGAATCCGACCCAACGGTGATGCCGCCAGGGCTATCAGGAAGCGGCTCCGTGCTGGGCGCAGCCGGTCTCCCACCCACCCCAGCACAGCGCTTGCTGAAATCTAGACTTGGCAACCTCAGCCCCCAGCCGCTTCCTCCCGCCCCTCCCCCGCCCTCACCACTTCCTCTCAATGGTCCCTGGGGATTACAGCACGATTATTTTTATCGCAAGAGTTTCCCAATGCGGGAACTCCACAGCCCCAAAGAGTTTGCATCTGAGCTTCCTGCAGCATCCTGGGGCACGGACAGGCGGAACCGGGCCGTCTGCCGTCCCTACGCACAGAGGCGCACAGGTGGGGTCGGGCCTCGCCGTCCCAGTTCTCGGTAACCGTTCTCGGAAATTCATTATGGGAATGTACGGGTTCTGGAGATGCTCAGACCGCGAACAGTACTGCAGGAACCCAAACGATCATTTTTAACCCCAGACATCCCTGAACCAAAGCCAAAGTCTACAATCACTGGGGCAGAGGCCGCCCGAAACCAGCTGTCCCCTCCCGGCCGGGGCGATCCCTTGATCGGACGGTGAGGTTGGGAGTCAACCGCACCCAAGTGCCACCGCGTCCACCCGGTGCAGGCGACCCCCGACGCCCGACGGGCAGCCGCTCACCTTCTCCTGGCCCCGGGCTTCAGGAAAACTGCCCGGAGGTGG